CTGAGTATATGTCTAACTCAGGATAGGACTGGACCTGACTCCTTCCCTATCTGTCCATAGGACTGTGGCACAGACGTAGGAAGCAGTCAGTAGAGAAGTCCAGAAACACTGGCATTGGGCCTGCAGAGCTGATACTCTCCTGCTTCTCTTTCCTGTAGCTGTCACCTACTCACGCAGTTAGTTAACCTCCTGCTTTAAATCACCTTCTTGGTTTTTCCCTCATTTCCCTCCATTGTCCTTGGAGACCATAGTATAGGAAGTCTCACCAGATAACCTTGCTGTTTGAATACGGTGGTATGAATATCCCCTCATCAGCTATCAATGATATGCTAGTGGGTAGCCTTTTCTTTTATTTACTGCTGTTCTTTAAGCCCTACTCTGAAAAACATCAATGCAACAGGGCTCAGATCACAGGGGTGCAATCAAAGAAGCTGCTGTCTTTGTTTGCCAGTGGCAGTAATAGATGGTCACAGGTGTGCAGAGATCTGAGACAGGCTGAAATAAATGGGGTGGCTCAAGGTGAAGGAACTGAATGGCACCTTGGGGACCCAGAGTTGTTTCTCTGCTTTTACCGGCGTTCTTGTGCAGCTCTAGGGAAATTGCTTCAGCCAGAGCTCACACAGGTGGTCACTAACCAACCCTGTGTGTGTCCTCATTCTGTGGCATCCTACCGTGAGGCCTGTGGCCTTATTTGCAGAAGTGCTAAGCATTCCCTGTTGTAACTGACTTCATGGGAATGGTGCTAAATACCTTGAAAAAGCAAATCCAAGTTCCAGCTGGCCACCTTAAATGAGAAGTTATTCCAGATCTTCTTCTCTCATAACTTTCTTCTTTACCTACACGGTGGGGAAAATACTGTCTCCTAACATGCATGTTAATATTTGTGAACCATTCAGTTTCTACAGATGGTGTGCATTACAGAAATTCCCAAAACTGTAGATAAATCAAAATACAGAAATGCTTTTCCAATGAGAGCAACTCATGCACTGCTAAAGACCCTGATTCCATGGGAATAACAACATTTGATCCAGTATTAAAGGCAGCATGAACCTGACAGGGAGAGGAAAGCAAATGAAGATTGTAGAGCAGTCTTCTAAATGGTTGGATCCATAGCTTTAATAGTGTTCTTTTAATTCAGGTTGGGCTCTTTATGTAATTTCCCGTTTAAAATAAACAGCAATAATGTCATGTAGAAGGAACCATATTCATAACCTCAAGAGTCATTAGTGGGACTGGAAGCCTCAGATAGCATCTAAATGGTCATGCTCTAGGTGAGGCAGTTTTAGATGAGATGGGACACTTTCACAGTAGGTGTCACAGCAGAAGATGTCACAGGCTCAGGTATCCCAGCTTCCCCTCCAGGCTCTGGAGCAGTTTGTATTCCCACTGGCACAGAGCTTTACTGCTCATTCCTCTAATGTCTGTTCCTCTCCCATTCCTTACCCAAGAGGAGATGTTTGTCTTAATCACTTCTGTTCCCTACCCTGGCTCCTCAGTTCAGCCACAGCTTCTTCCTTAGGCTTCCATAACCTCTACCCCAGCCACTCCACGTACTTCCCTGGTTTTCTCTTTACAATCCCATGTAGTCTCTCTCCTTCCCTCCTCACTCTCCTGTACCTGCATCTGCAATTCTCGGCGCTCTGTCTTTATTTTGCCCGGTGATTCTTTCTCTGATCCTGCACTGTATCCCCACTACTTAATGACTCTTCATCTCAGCTGTATTATTAATTCCCCCTTCTAAATTCTTTGTCACCATGTAGAAGTCCTTTTTTTCTGGTTTACAATCCCATGAGGTCCAGGTCCTTCTAGCCACCTCCTATTTCCACCCCCAAGCTTCAAGTCCCACAGAAAGTCCCAGTTTCTGCTTCACTTCCACAAGCCTTAGTTTTATTTGCCCACCATTCAAAACAGTGAATTTTCTACTCCAGTTAGAAAGGGCTCAGTGAAGAAATTGGGTCTATGTCTATATTAAGCAAGTTAAACAGTGTCAAGGTGAAAACACAGGATCATCTGCAGTGCTTAGTTGTTAACACAGTCCTGGCACTGGTTTGGCCAACTAGTACTTTCTCAGATAGTTCCCAGGAACATTTGAGGGCTGTCCTTTTTGGCAAGGAAAGGAGTCTAGATGTATGGATGTAAACCATGACATGTCAGTGAACTGCAGGGCCAGAGAAAGTATCTTGACTTGGTTTATTTACTAATATAGAGGTAATCCTTGAGACCACAAAGAGCTAGGTTACTGTCAGGAACTGGAATGCATTACAAAAGCTCATAATGCATTTGCAATACTGTCCCTATTAAATCCTGGGCTGTGGCATGCAGGCTGCAGGTGGACCTTTAGAAATTTACCCTACTGAAAATCTCAGCTGAGTATGGGCAAACTACAGCTCTTCAGAAGCTCATCACTTGGACATGTTTGAGATCTGATATTCACAAACAAGAATAAAAAAATCCATTTGACACCCTTGTTCCTCATGAATTTCTCAACAAGGATATTAACATCCATTAATTTTGACAATAAGTTTATTTTTCCGTCAAAATATCTTGGAGACAGTTGAAACATTTTGGTGATCTTTCCCAGAAAAGCCCAAGCAGACAGTGAGAAGAGAATATTTCTGCCTAAGTGCTTAAATTGGCAAAGTTTAATATGTAACTGAGAACAGCATACTATGGTATGTGTTGAACAGCCTGAATAATAGGCAGTGCAACAAAACATAGCAATAATTCATATATTATTCACACATTATTGCAATAATTGTACAACAAAGTAGAGGAAGATGCTTGATTTCCTCCTCCTTGCTCCTGTTACCCCATACACTTAAATGTGATCAGTTGGATTGTGGTAATCTGCGTGTTTTGGATATCATTGGGGCCTTAAGGATGCCGTGCTTGCAATGGTCTGTTCCATAGAGCACAAAGCCTGGTTTTCATCTCAGTAGGAGCTACTGAGGTTCTCCTCATAAAGAGTTAGTGAGTTACATCATTGCAAAATGAGTTGGCAAGTAAATGCACAAAAAGTCAGTTGGTGAAGGAAATGAACCTTCCGGCCAAAGTTGTCTCTGGAAAGGGTTTCTTAACTGATTTTTTTGTCTAGATCAAAAACAAAGAGACTGGAAATAGTCAAGAGCCCAGAGTGAAGTTGCCCTCAAGGTAGAAAAGTGCTGTAACACTGGGCTACTGGATGTTCTGGAGCAAGAGAAATGGGGGTTCACCAACAGCGCACCTCTCCTGTCACGATACAGTTTTGTGTTGAATTAAAAACAAATTCCCAAGCCTTCAGGTGTGTTTATGAAGTCTCATGCCTGTATACTGGCAAATCTTGATGCTATTGCGCACAAGTTTATATGTAGATGTTTCTCTACAGTGTGGTCCAGGAAAGGGTGTAAAGAATATATGTGGACTTTAGGGAAAATAAAATGAAGATGTATAAATGCGTCTTTACTGCTGATTTTGCGATTTACACTGATTAATTCTTTGCTCATACTCACACTCTCCAGAACAGAGGTAAGCTGTCCACTACCAAGCTCTCTGGATTTTGGAGATGTTCCACCAGCACATAACCTGACTTTTCTGCAAGTCAGCTTGGCAACTTGGATTTTGATCTGTAGCATGCAAGAAAAAGAAAAACAGACCAATGTTAATATTAAAATTTCACAGGTTTAGAATGCCTTCTTTAGACCTGAATAAAGTGTTACTCTTTGGTTGCAGTGGATCAGTGTACCCTTTGCGATGTCCCATCCTGCAGTGACAGACATTGGGTTCACGGCTGTGCACCCGGTGCACCAAGCACCTTGGCTTGGATCTATCAACTCACTTGACATTTACACATGGCTGGACAATTTCCTTTTACTGGTAAGTGATGGCTTGTATGAAGGAATGAAGCATTTAAGCACTCACACTGTGTTACTGTGACAGCTGAAAATAATACAGAGTCTAGTTAAGAGTTTCCAGCAAACTGAAAACTTTTACCCTCTTGACTCCTGCTCAATATTTCTGCACATTTGACTTATTTCAGTGAAATATCAGTAGAATATTGTAGAACAGATGTCAAAGTCAGCATTGCCAGGAATGCAATTTAAATATCATCAGGCTGAAAGAGTTGACTTATGCTAAAATTAATTAAAAGTACGCAGTTAATACTTAACTGATGTCATTCTTGGCAGAGGAATTTATATATTGCAGAAGGCAATAAATATGTTATACAAATGATTAAATATGCCTTAGGTATAGGTGATGTAGAAAAAGCTTTGCAGAGATGGATGGATGGATGAATTCATACGTGTACACATGCCAGAATGAACTGAGGGCTTTCGTTATTTAATACCCATGTATTACACATGGGATTGGTGGTTATTAAGTACTTTCCATTAGAAGATCTAGCAACACATGCTAACATTTTCCGTTCTCAGTGTCCCTCAGCAGCCCTGCACTGGTTTTATTATCATGTTGTACTTCGGGATTCCTTTCTCTGTTTTTTTTTTTAAATAATCGCAACCAAATCCGTTCTCAGTGTCCCTCAGCAGCCCTGCACTGGTTTTATTATCATGTTGTACTTCGGGATTCCTTTCTCTGTTTTTTTTTAAATAATTGCAACCAAAAATCTTCAGAGTTTTCTGATAATTGGGCTATTAAAATATATTTTTTTATCCAGCTTAAATTTTTTAGAGATTCTCAGAGAGCCAGAGTATGACATTAGCTCAAGTGGCTGTATTCTGTGTGGTAAGCCTGAAGGTTTCATCTCTGCTGATGACCAAAGGACAGCTCTGATGTTTGCCAAATTGTGACACATTTTCTTTTAATCTTGTGTGTTTCATTATAGCTCAAGAAATTTACACATGCTTGGAAAGCTTTGTTAAAGGAACATTATTAAGGCTGCAAAGGAAAACAGTCATAAATAGCAAGTCAAAATCAGAGTTGCCTGTGAAACATTCATTTGGTGTCTGTGTGTGCACGAAATATATGAAACACCTGTATACACACTATTTGGTCCAAATGCCTCCTGCCTCATTTAGTGTGTAGAACTGGGCTGTGCATGTTTAATGAGCCATTTGCTTTGTTTTCTTTCCATGCTGTTTAGTCATAGGCGCTTATTTACTTAGTGGAGACTATTCAAATACCGCTCTCAAGGTAGGATTGTTAGCACTTGGTTTTTTAGCCTTTGATAATACTCTTCTGTCGTATTTTGCAGACATAATTTTAAGTCTAATCAGGATCTTCACTGTTATATACTCAAAAAAAGAGAAGGGTTGCCACCATAAAAGAAAACTTTTTCTTTACTACTTTGTCTTTAATTTCTATTGGTATTGGTTTTGCTTAAGACAGTGGGAGAATAATTTTTCACATTCTTGAGTTCAATGTATACAGAACGTGTGCCTTGTTTTGATGGCCACCCACATTCATAAAAGAAGATAAAATCTTGCTTTCGAATCCTACCAGAGTCTAATCTAATTTTGGCAGGGGGAGGGTACTGGAGGCCAAATTCTTCAAATATGAAATATGACAATAGTATTTTATAACCTTTCATAAGGCTTTATCAAGTATTTATACAGCTTAACAATACTTGGGGATTACAGAGGCTATGTAAGTGCAAAGTGTTATTGCTAATTGTACAAAGGAATAACCTGTCTAAAAGAATGGGAATTAAGTGGACTTGCAAAGGTTTGACATTACTTGTGAGAATGAAAGTTACAGCTATTACTGACTGACTGATATTCAATAAATAAATGAAAGAGCAGCAATATGGCGTTCAGCATTCAAGTGATGCTTCTACGTGCTCTCTATATGGCAATAGCGAATAATCCAGTTAGCCCCCAATGACAGGATACTGCCCATTGTGTTTGCAGACATTAGGAGGAATCCCATGGCAAGCATATTTCCAGCGAGTTCTTTCCTCATCTTCTGCCACATACGCTCAAGTTCTGTCATTTCTGGCTGCTTTTGGCTGTCTTGTGATGGCTATTCCTGCAGTACTCATTGGTGCAATTGGAGCATCTACAGGTAAATGACTAAAAAATGAATAGTACAATAAATGTAAAATGAATAGTGCAATAAATGTGTGAAAACCCTACAAAGCTTATGTTAGATATAATCTAGCCAGATGACATCATTAATCAATTCATGACTTCCTCAACAGGAGACCACACTGAAAAGTAATATTGTAGAATATTTCTCCCAGGGGAAATTGCTCCTACCCCAGTGGCTGAGATTAACTCATTTTGCACAATCTAGGTATCTGCAGATGTAATATCTCTATTTAATGTTTGAGTTAGATTCAGGTACTTTTATTTGTACAGTATTACCTAACAGTAATAATGAGGAGCGGCTGAGGGAACTGGGACTGTTTAGCCTGGAGAAGAGGAGGCTGAGGGGAGACCTCATCGCGCTCTACAACTACCTGACAGGAGGTTGTAGCGAGGTGGGGGTTGGTCTCTTCTCCCAAGTAACAAGTGACAGGACGAGAGGAAATGGCCTCAAGTTGCGCCAAGGGAGGTTTAGATTGGACATTAGGAAAGATTTCTTCACCAAAAGGGTTGTCCAGCACTGGACCAGGCTGCCCAGGGAAGTGGTTGAGTCACCGTCCCTGGGGTATTTAAAAGACGTGTAGATGTGGCACTTAGGGACATGATTTAGTGGTGGACTTGGCAGTGCTAGGTTAACGGTTGGACTCGATGATCTTAAAGATCTTTTCCAACCTAAATGATTCTAAATGATTCTAAATTATTCTATGATTTATCAGGAATTCTTACTTTGACAAAAACATCCCTGTCAAGGTTTTTGTCATAGTGAGAGAGTGATCCCCATCACAGTGACCATGTAGCTAAATTGTTAGAAATTTTCTGTTAGAAATGTTTAACACATGGCTTTGAGCTACGAGTCTGTAATCCAAGAGAACAGTTAAACACATCACAAAATAACATGGGTCCCAGACTTGTTTTATTGGGAAAAATGACATTTATGAGCACTGCAAAGTTTTAATATTAAACTTCCTACTGGATAACCACAGGCTGTGGTCAGACTTAGCTTAAAGATAAGGAAAAATGCTGAGCAGAATTAAATCTGCCTAACAGAAACCAGTGGGACACTACCTCTCTGAAATGCCATCGGTCTGGCCCTAGTAACAACTTGGCCATTGAATGTGAATGAAAATGTGGCAATATGAATAGCTCACTACACATGAAGTCAAAAGATGCTGTAGCTGATGAGTATTAATGTTACTAATAACATACCGGTGTCCATATTGCAGCCTGGAACGAGACTGAATATGGTGTCCCTGACCCCATGACCAAAAAAGAAGCAGATAGGATTTTACCGATCGTGCTCCAGTACCTTTGCCCAGTCTATATCTCGTTCTTTGGCCTCGGCGCTGTATCTGCTGCTGTGATGTCGTCAGCTGACTCTTCAATTTTATCAGCAAGTTCTATGTTTGCTCGGAACATTTACCAGCTTTCTTTTCGGCAAAACGTGAGATTACATTTTCATTTTTACTTTTAGAGAAAATTTTAGGTGAGACCTTAACTATGTGATGCATAGACTGTAATTTCATAATGAAACACATCTTTCACATTCCTGCCTATAACTAGAAGTATAGCATTTCATTCCTAACAGTATATTGAATAAACTGAAAGTCATAAAAATATTTATGGTTGTGACTGACGACAGAGGTGAAAAAGCTAGCTCAGAGGAGGCAGCTTTCAAGAGTTCTCATGGCACCGCAGTTCATCTAAACAGCTCCTAATTATTGCTGCAACCATAAGTTTTACTTAAATCCTTAACAAAATGAGACATCTTTCTGAATTATTGATTTATCAGGAAATCATTTGACAACAGAAGGGACTAGTGAGTCGGAGTTTTTCTTAGGAAATGGAGAAGAAGAAATTCTGATGCTGTTTTTTCCAGTTGATCCCTATTGTGCTTATATTTAAAAGTTTTTTCTAACACTCTGCTGTTGTTTTTTTTTCTTTGACACATTATCAAACTTTTCTTTATGCTCAAAGATTAATGACTTTGGGAATGGCAACCATAACCCTTGTTTTTTTTTTTCTCTGTGCTTGAGATGGAGATAGAGACAAAGATAGAGATACTTGTTTGTAAATAGTATTGAATATGTCATGCAATCCTTTTACAATGCAGTATTTTATATCAACTATATGCATAAATGTAGGCATACATATATTGCTATGAAAAAACCACCTAACACTGCCCGTTTTTTTGCAGGCTTCAGACAGGGAAATCGTGTGGGTCATGAGAATCACTGTTTTTCTGTTTGGAGCGTCAGCAACAGCAATGGCACTGCTAGCTTCATCAGTGTACGGCCTGTGGTACCTCAGCTCTGACCTTGTTTATATCATCATATTCCCCCAGCTCCTGTGTGTGTTATTTATTAAAGGAACCAACACCTATGGTGCCATTGCAGGATACTTATTTGGCCTTGTTCTCAGAATAACTGGAGGAGAACCGTACCTCTACCTTCAGCCCTTGATCTACTATCCTGGCTGCTATCCAGATGAAAATAATATCTATACCCAGCGATTCCCATTTAAAACACTTGCTATGCTTACCTCCTTCTTTACTAACATTATAGTCTCCTACTTAGCCAAATACTTATTTGAGAGTGGGACTTTGCCACCAAAGCTGGACTTCCTTGATGCTGTTGTTGCCAGGTACAGTAGAGAACACATGGACAAAGCAACTCTTGTAAAAAGTGACAATATTGTATTAAACGAACTTGCACCTGTGAATCCACGACACAGTCTAACTTTGAGCTCAACTTTCACAAACAAGGAAGCCTTCAGTTATGTTGATTCGAGCCCAGAGCTGTCCAACACTGAAGATAATTAAAAAATCTGGTAGCCACAGGCAAAGCAATGATGTGAAGCAGGATATTCTACAAAGAATAGTAAGAGGCATTTTATCAGAAGAAAAGCAAGAATTGGGAATAAAATGCCGCTGCACAATTCTTTAAGTTGTTTCTAGGAGCAGGAGCATCCCATGGGAGGAACTCTTTTCTGTTATTATCTAACATGTTGGATTAGATCATAGACCAAAAGATACACCCAGATCCCATTCTTTCCACCCAGAACTATATACTGTGTAATTAAAAAAATATTTACAATTGAAAATATATGTAGCAGAAAAAGTGCAACGGTTATTTAGCTAGGACATGTTATGAAGAGATTATAACACAGTCACTCTGAAATACTATCAGTCAACATTTTATTGGCATTAAATGAAAATATATTGTCACAGCTATAAGTGATTTATTACTAAAGAGCTAGTTGCTTGAGCAAAGACAGATAGATAAAGTCCCTGGGTTTTTGGTCTGGTCATTTTTTTTCTCATAAAGAAATTAAAATAATACAAATCTAGTATTTTATTATTTGTATAAGACAGCAAAATGCACAAATAGTAATAAATTCCTTATAGGAGTGCTAAACAACATATAGCAATTAAAAAAGTTAAAATGAAGTCACCAGTTTAAAATGATGTTATACCTAATGCAACACGAACTTAAGCGAAGTATGTTACTATAGATGTTCTTTTTTCCCTGTGGTTAGTGGCTGTCACCAATGGAGGATAACAAAATTTTTAAAGCAATAATTGGAGTTGAAACTCAACTTGTGAAAAACGACAGAACTCTGATAGACTAAACAGAACTTTTCAATGTTGAGGAAAGAAGCCTTATCTTGACTTATCATCAAAATGAACACTGAGCAAAGCAGTCTGACACGAAGCAACTGCAGCAATGGAACAAATATTAAAAAGTAAGGTGAGTCAAGAAGGCTTGAAAAAACAGATGAGAGGGTTTTCCATGGGGAAAATTCCCATTTTTCACATAAAAAAAAAAGTATTCTCAAAGACATCAAAAAGTCTTTTGGGTTGGACTTGCTGGGATTACTCTGGAAAGTGTAGATTTTCCATGGAAAATCTCATTTTCTCAAAAATTTGATTTCCCATGGGAAAAACAGGCTTGCTGGACAGCTTTCCATGTCTGTAAGTGTCTACCTCCGAAAGCAGCAGCAGCTTGGAGGGGAACTGAAAGGAAAGCCAAACCTACAAGCATAGTGAAAGGCACAGCGGTGTCTTCCACTAAATGCCGGACTCCTTCATTAACAGCCATCCTCCTGGGCTGTCACGGTGACTCTGCGGAGCACCAGCGGCCAGGCACAGACGAGACTCCACTCATGAATGGCAACGCTGGCCAGAAGCAGCAAAGCAGGGAGATGAGGCCTCTTCCGACTTTGCCCTGGCCAGCAGGGAACACGCAATGTCGTTTCCATTTGCCCACGGCCGAGATGATTGTGTTTGTCCCCGTTGGTACGTGCCTTTCACAGTGGGAGATCTAATAGCTAGATTTCTGTACAATTAAGAGTTATGCTCCAATAATTCTTTTTAATAGCTACACATGACACAAAATGTTCAGCTGAAATCCAGATATCCTCCTGTTGCTGGTCACTGGTGAAATTTCTTCTTTAATGTTCACAGCACGAGGAGCTATACTGGAGGATAGGAGATGTAAGAATAGGTTTTGCTGCTAAAGGAAGAAGCCATCAACTTGTGCATTCAATGTTGACATAAACTTTCACAAGGTTGAATCCTTAGGTGTGTTTTTGCTCCTTTTGTGGAGTTTTAACAGCGTATATATATTTTATACGTAGAGAAAATTAATTTTAGAGATGTTGATTTTTTTCTCCATACTGCATCTAAAAATAACACTGCATCTCAGTTCTGAATATGCATTGTGAACTGTGGTACTACTGTGCTAACAAATGTTGAGTGTGCTCTGAGGGGAGGGAATCAAAATCAGGATCTGAACTAAAAACCCAGAGGAGCCAATATAGCAAAGAAATAAAAATTCCTGCGGGGTAAGTGAAGGAGCCACCGATGAAATTCAGGGTGCTGAGGATCTCACAAACCAGATGTGAGCCCAGTGGTATTCATTCCCCCATGAACCATGGAAAAGAGAAGAGGAAAGAGATCGTATGGAAGAAAGAGAGGGGAGAACAGAGCCACTGCTGAATTATTATCCATTTTTAGTCCAAATCCACTAGCCTGAATCCCTTCTTATGAGGAAATATCAAGCCATGGGTTTGCCCACATACATAGCCAATGCCTTATGCTGCAGTTCCAAATTCAGTTAGGGGATCCCAGTTTACAGCCACCTGTAGGTCTTCCTGAAAATTTTCTCTTTCTTCAGTTTTGTCTAGGAATTGCTAGAATTTGACTATGAGAAGCTTCATAGTGGCCAGATGCTTTGAATACAGCAACATTTCTCTATTATTTATTTCAAAATTCCCAATAGTGGGAGGAGAAGGAAATGAGAAAGGGATTCAGCTGGAATCTTTGAAGAAATTTTGATTGAAAAATAAAAATCTTTCCTTTTATCTTGTATTCCCTTGTTGCCATAAAAACATAAAGGCTTTTAAAATGCTCAAAATGAAAAACTTAAATGAAAAATTAAAATGTGCTAGTCCAAAAATTTAAAGCCAGATGCTTTCAACATTATCAGAATATTTTATACTGTTTATCGTGTTGAATATTTTTGTGAAATCACTGTGATTTCACAAAGTATTCCTGTTTAGATAGAACTATGCATTCTCTAGCAAAAAATGGTTCCAACAAAGTTTTCCAGTCTTCTCTGCAGAGACTGAAAAGTTATTGCACTTTTACAAGTAACATGCCATGGAAGCTTTATCATGCAAAGGAGAGAAGTGGCACTGAAGACTGCTGATTGTGTGACCGTAACTCTGCTTTCCACGTACCAGCTCTCTGTGCGTGTCTTTGCATGAGTCCAACAATGGCTGCAGTGTTTGTGGTGGTGGGCTGCGTAGTGGACGGGACAACTCCAAAAGCCAAACTAAACAGCCCTGTGCAAAGTGTGTTTACAAGTTTTATTGCCTTAGTTCAGCTATCCTACCATTAAATTTATACAAAGCTGCTCATATAACCAAGGGCCATATCTATGATTGATAGCTGGGGGGATGGGGGAAGAAGAAAAGAGAACAAAATACAACCAAGTTACTTCCACAAGCAAAATGCCAACAGGACGTGATTCTTCAAGTAAACTTTATTTTCATGGGAATCATCAGATGCTCCCTTCTCCACTTCTGCAAATTGTAGACAGTAGTACTGTGCACTAAATTGGATCTATAATCAGTGAAGCAAACAGCTCATTTTCAGACACTGAGGTTATTGTTTCTGAGCCTACAATTTCTAGATAAAATATTCATATCACGATCATATATTTTACTTTCATATTCTTAACATTTGTGAATAACACTTATTTGACAGGGTTTTTTACCTCCTTTGCATGAGATGTGTTCATAAAATCAAGGTTAATAACATAGCTGAGATGTCAAAAAAAGTTACGATTTCATCTATATTTGTCCATACGGGATGGTATATGTATTATAAATAAAATATACTTTTGTGAACCTGAACTGAATGTAAACATTAAGTGGATCAAATAAAGTAAAAGATTTAGTCTTTTATTTTCATATAGTACAACAATTTAGGATTTCAAATATAAGTATCATAGGAAAAAAACTGTTACTCATTTTTCCTTCTGCCCTTCAAGTGTATTTGATCAAGTACCATGTGCTGTTAGACAGTAAGTTATTGTAAGCCTACTATTAATCAGGGCAGTATTTGTGGCTGTTGTTAAAAAAAAAAGTATATTTTTGTCTGTGTCAGAAATGTTATATTAAGACTATACCTAACGAAGCAGATGATAGGAAACATAATATAGATATATATGTTTTAACTTCATTTGTATTGTATTCAATAGTGCCCATGAAATTCAGGAAAATACTGTCTGGTTTTGGGTCTGTTTTGTCCATCTATTAAAAATAAAGACTTTTATTTTATTATCATTCAGCATCACCTGAAGTTTTGTGCGGCGGGCACAGCCCTGCAGAGGTGAAGCGGCCCTGGCAGGGCGGGAGATCAGCCTGGGGGATCAGCAGGGCCACTGCGGCTATAGCCCTGCCCCAAAACCTGGGTCCCATGTCGGAAACAGAGCTCTCATTTCAGTCATCTCTTCCTTGTCCTCACAGCCACAAAGAACAGAGGTCCCTGAGCTCTAGAGGAATCTACATCCAGCGGGACTCCCTCCTGCAAACCCCTTGCCAGGGACCTTTCTCTTGGGGGTGTCGTACTGGGACTGGTTTGGGCTGTGGTTTGGGCTGCAGAGTTGGCAAGGAGCACAAAAGGTGCTACGGGAGCAGGGATGCACATGCCTAGAGATTGCAGCTGGGTTCCACCTTTCGTGTGAGCTGACTGGAGCATGGGTTTGATAGTTTTTCCCTTTGTAGTGGGACATAGAGTCATCCTGGGCATTGCGTGCGTTATAAATACAATTATTTATAAAACAAAATTTTAGCGGACTGAAAACTAAATCTGTGCTTTTATTCTCCCATTAAGAGCTTGATCTATTGTCCATTGAAGTCAAAAGAAAGACACCAATGGGTGGCTATCCAAATGCTACTATAATGACACATGCCAAATATACAGTGTATTTATCCCCCAGATGCTTTGCAAAAATATGTGGGCAATACTGTCCACTCTTGGATGAGGAATTAGTCCTAGGAGGGGACTTTGGACTGTTTAACCTTTAGGAAGCGTTCACAGAAAAAGCATCGTTCTCAGGGGAGAGTTTGCACCTGACTGTCTGGAGCACTGACCTTCTGCGACTACAAAAACAGATAAAGGAAAACGTCCGTCTAGGTTGCAAGGGATGTGTTGTGACTGGGAGAGACACATGCTATCTCCACAACTGGCGTTAATAAATAACAGGCGAAAAACAATGTAAATGAGTCTGTAGTCAGGAATAAGGCTATGCT